ATAGTGGCTTAGCAAATTATAGTATTACTTAGTGAAGAATATTATACAGCTTGTAAAAAGTTTTGTTTTTTTTTAATTAGAGGGAAATGCACAAAATTATATTTCTATTAATTATAGCTAGGCAATATAGACATTAGATCGGAGACTGGAAGAGAACAGGGAAAATGAAAGCAATTGATTTTATTGGGCCGTCAGAATGAATAAGGGATAATCTTTCTTTAGTCCCATGTGCGTTGCTATGTTTATGTAATTTCTTTCAAAGTAAATTTTGAAATTGTTTTTATTTTTTTCAGGCATGTTACTACCAGATCCAGCGTGAGAAGCTTAACTAGGTTGCGTAACAGCTAACAACTGGATTATCTCTACAGAGTGTTATAGCACCATCTGGCACCTTCCTGTAGTGGCAAAAAAGAATGGTCTTGAAGTTAGGATGTTGTGTTATTTTGGTTATTTCTGAGCCTTACTAATGATCAGAGCTCTGAGCCCAGAGGAAAAGACTGTACAGTTTAAAGGGAAGATCGAAAAGGAGGTAGAATTCAGATTGGACCAGTCCCTGGTCTATGTTAAGCTCCCCAACTCTCATCTACTACTGTTTGAAGAAAGAGGACATCCCTTGCTTTGGCGAAGGGTACGCTGCTCCACACCGTCAGGAAGGTTCTCAGTGAAGGAAGTCGATGGACATTTCTGAGTTTCTGGTTTGCCTGCAGTTACCCCAGACCCTTTTGCAAGGAGCAGATTGTTCTCAAACGACAGTTACCACGCTCTGCCTTCCTGGGTTCCTTGCAATCCTGGGTGCATCCTGCTGCTTTGCTGAGACAGGGGCAAGAAGAACTTTTAAACTGCAGTTTTAACTTTTTCTAAGCTTTTCCACCAGGGTATTCATCATAGGAGAGAGGTTCAGTATAATGACCAACAAATTCCAACCCCAAACAAGGATCGTGTCCAAATAGGAGTATTCTGCCTCCTGAGTAAAAGAACATAGGAATCTTGTCCTTGGTTTCCTTACAATGAGTGCTACAGGGTGAATACACTGGACTCCAACACTGACTCTGAGCTGCTGCGGATCCTCCCCTGTCCACAGGCAAAGGCTGTGCCTGGGGCCTGGGAATGAGGCGAAGACTTTTGCATGCAGGCTGCAGTGGAGCAAAGACTAGGAAACGGGGAAGCGGAGCCCTGCATCTGTCCCTGACCTCGTGTTGTGCTTCCCTGTGCCTCACAGGGGACCCACAGGGAAGAAAAAGGAAACGCGCTCGGCTTTTCCCATCTCACAAGTATTGTGACACCTCAGCGTCGTAGTGTTTTGCTTTTTTTATGTTGTAAGTGGTGGGTTTATACTGTACAAGTAACACTAGTAGCTGTTTGGATAACATAGGTGCTCTTCCTCATCTCATCTGCACACGTGAGGAGCGTACGGAGTGTCCTCCTGATTTATGTTAAACAGCAGATGCTAACAAACAGGATCATGGTTTTTGCTCTACTTTATAATCAAGACGAGTGTTTATTAAAATACTGTTTTGGAATGTTGGCTGTAATGTAACAGCAATTTTCATAATAAAAGACATTCATCTTTATGAGGTTGTTTTGATTGCAAAAGAAATGACACAGGGCAGACTACAATTTTAAAAGAAGCCGGGCTTCGTGTTTTGGTGCCCACATTGTCATCTGCCTCAGAGGTTCCTCTAGGGTCTCAGACATCTCTCTTTAAAATAAACAAACTTAATTATAATTATAGCACCTTTGGTGGCAAAGGACAAATTAACCTGATCCTATTAACCCGAGGACAAGGGTCTTAAAATAAGTCTGTTATTTCTTTGAATAAAAGGCATATTTTGATAGTTACTGTGTTTTTATGTTTGTTTTGTTTTTGTTTTGTGTTTGTTTTTTCTCTCTCCCTTAAACAGATTCAGGGAAAGGAGGAGTGAGGATTTAAAATCCTGGTTAGAAATATTAGGCCTTAGTCAATCATCTCCTTGTTGTAGTGTCTTCTCAAGAAGCCTGATGCTTTCTGCCCGCGTGGGCCTGCTCGCTGCCGAGGGACGGTACTGGAAGATCAGTGTGTGTTAAACACTTTTCATTTCCATTAGGGAATGCTTGGACTTTTAAGTAAATTCCACATTTGACCTGTAAAGGCAATTGTACTGAGTGCCTTTGACCCCCTAGGAGATAGAGACTGGGATAACTGTGGAAGTGGACAGAGACCCACAGAGAAGTTCTAAAATGCTGGTAGGCCGTCTTAATTCTTTCAAAACACAAAAAACATGTTACAATTCATCCTTTTATTGGAGTCATGAATGAAACTACCTGTTACATTAGTTTCTTCTTACTGTACTTATACTTTTCAAATAGCATATTAAAATTATAAAATTTCAGTTCTCTTGGGGGGAAAGCCCTAAGTCTCCAGGCCAGTGTCTGTAGCAATTTGCAAGGACCTCACCCTGATGAATGCTCACCCTGCTGATTCCTGTTTTACAGACAAGGAGTGGCTGTGGTTCACTTCCTATTAGAGCTGAGTCTCGAACCTAGAACTTCCCAGTGCGCTTTGCTCCTGCAGCTGCAGAGATGTCATTTCATACAGGTCATGCATTAAAAGTTCCAAAGTGAAAAGAGTTGGAAATAAAAACTTTTTAATCCTCACCTGAGGATGTTTTTCCATTGATTTTTAGTGAGAGTAGAAGAGAGGGAAAGACAGAGAAATATCCATGGGAGAGAAACATCGATTGGTCGCCTCCTGCATGCTCCCTGACCAGGCCCCGGGCCAGGGAGGAGCCCGCAGCCGAGGCATGTGCCCCTGATCAGAATCAAACCCGGGACCCTTTGGTCCACAGGCCGATGCTCTACCCACTGAGACAAACTGGCTAGTGTGAAAATAAAAACTTTTAATAAAATTAAGTGCTTTTCATAAAACATTCACAAATGTATCCCATTCCCAGCTTGGATTTTCATCTACAGTGGAGAGCCATATGTTAATTTAGGATAAACGGGCTAATAAACCGTATAATCGCTATTTGGTCTTTACCCTTCGCCTTGCTGTCAGCAGTGCCCTTTCTCCTGTTTGTTGTTGTTTTGTGATGCCTATTTTCAAAGTTCTCCCCCCTCCCTGCAATATGAAATGTTCAGACAAAGAAGTAGCTCTAATCTGAGACAGAGGATGGGCGAACCATGAAGTTCAGAGCAGTGGCTTGGTAGGGGGCCTTCCAGAAGGAACTGCTGCTGATTTCATTGTTCTCTCACCGTAGCGTGAGACAATTAGTAAGGTTACTAGGCTTCCTCTCAGGTACCTCCACAGTTTTCCCTTCCATTAAAATAAAGTGCTATCTTCTGTCGCAGGTTGTCTGTTATCCTGAAACACTCAACACAAGTATTAATCTTTAACCATTAGCAATGTGCTGACAATGAGAGAGAAAATACTACAGGAAGGTTTAAAATGAGAGAAATTACTAGACTCTTCAGTGTAAGGATTACTTAAGATTTGTGACAGGGGAGGCTTGGGAGTCCTTGAATGGTTAGGCGTCTGTGGATTAAATCAAAGAGGATGTGCAGAGATTTAATCTGGAACAGCGAAGTGACTGGCAGCTGAAAGCAGCTAATTTCCCGATAAAGCTTTTCCCTTGATACCAGCAACATTGCGTGTCTGCAGTCTCGCAGGTAAGAGACCCTGCCGAGTTGTCCTCAATGCCGGGGATCCACCTGTCTGCCCTTCTGTCCGTTCTCAATAGCTAAAGGTACAGCTCTGGGCTTTCTGGTCTACGTGGTTTAGTTGCATTTAGTAGCATTCCTGAAAATTCCGTGTGTGTTAAAACTGTGCAAAAGTACTTTGTATCTATATGTAAAGAAAAGTTGAAAAATTCCCTTGTGGCAATTACTGACTTGGTATAAAATAGGCCTTAAATAAATGCTTGTCTATTGATTAGAAGAAAAAAAAAAGAAAAGTTGAGTTCTAGGCTCAGATAGTTATAGAGGCTTTCTTCCAGCCACATGAAAGTGCAGTGGACATTTGAGGGTTACACAGGGCATGAGGCGATTCTTCATTGTGAAGGGCACCTTCTGGGAACTTCCTCAAAACCGTGGGCACGTTCCCCTGCCCTCATTTCCTCTAGCCCCCCTCCCCCCGGCCTGCTGGCTGAACTGCAGATGTGACGGCTGGCCTCCAGCCACCACCTGGAGCAGGAGGGTGAGGAGCACACCGCCCCGGGGTGGTGGAGGGCTGAGTGGAAAGAACCCTCTGAGAACTTCATGCAGCAAGGCTGCCCGTCCAGCCCGGGCTTGTCTCCGCCTCTGGAAGTTTACATGAGCAGGATATAAACTTCTGTTAAGCCACTATTGTTTTGGGATTCTGTTTCTTGAAATTAAACCTACCTAAAGCAGCCCAGCCGGTGTAGCTCAGTGATTGAGCGTCGACCCATGAACCAGGAGGTCCCGCATTCGATTCTGCTGAGGGCACAAGCCTGGGTTGTGGGCTGAATCCCAGTAGGGGGCATGCAGGAGGCAGCCGATCAATGATTCTCTCTCATCAGTGATGTTTCTATCTCTCCCTCTCCCTCTCTCTGAAATCAATAAAAACATTTTAAAAAATTAAAAAATAAATAAACCTGCCTAAAGCAATATAGAAAGTAAATTCTAAGAGTGTGGCTCAGCAGTAACACACGACTCTGGTACAATGAGAGGGAACAGGGCTCCTGAGTCAGTCAGGCCAGGGAGGCTTCTAAGCTCTGAGTGATGGTAAAAGCAATTAGGCAAAGGGCGCCGTAGAGGGAGTGTTTTATGAAATAGCAGTTTTCTCTTCTGCGCAACTAGTGGTCAGAGAGGACCACAGTGCAAGAATTTTTTGTGTGTTTGCTGAGGATCCCAGTGTAGCACAGGCCTGGCTCGCCCAGTAAGTGCTGTTGAAAATGTATTTCAGGGCGCCAAGAGCTGCGTGGCCAGCGTGGTTGAGTGAGCGGTGTGCTGTCTATTGACCTGCTCCCCAGGCCTGGATTCTCTCTGGGAGCTCAGGAGGGAGGATGATACACTCAGACAAAGGCACAGACCCGCCCGACAAGGAGGACCTGAAGCGTTCTACGCCATCCAATCCCGAGGATGGTATGTGGCTCCCGGATCCTGTTTCTAAGCTAGGGAGGTCTGATACCATCACTCTGAACATGTGATCAAATACATGGGTAAAATTCTGATAGATTTACTGTGATTCCTATAAGGATCCTGTACACTTTTGAGTGTCCTACCACTTGTATTGGTTATAAGTCTAAGTAAGTTTCAGGGCAGGAAGGAAAGATACTGACCCAATGTCTTACCTAAACTTAGAGCTTCATAACTTGTTCACATTCAAAATGTCACTGCATCAAATAGAACTTCTATGAAAACACTTCCAAAAAACCGAGCATTCACGAAAATCTGGTCAGCCCCTTTAAGCAGTGGAATCCTGAGATGTGTATTAAAAACTTATTGGGAGTTAGAGTTTTTCAATCACACTTTCAATAAGCATTTTCAGAGAGGGTAGACAAATGACTCTCTGTTTGAATTAGGGAAGGAGTACCCAGAAAACAACTAGATCATTTTGGAATAAGCCAAAGGCTGGTAAGATTGGGGAGAATAAAAGCAATATTGCTCTCACAATATCTTCCACCTGTGTACTATGACCTCTTATTTCATCAGGCGTTGGCAGCAACCCTATGGAGAGCTAACATACTCTCTTTTTGCCACAGGAACCTGGGTCCCAGGTAGTTCGGTGACTTTCTGAGCAAGTGAAAGAATAGGGCCTGAAGGCAGATCTTCTGGCCTTAAATCCAGTGTCATCGCCACCCCTCGGTGCCATCTGAGCCCTGTGGCACATCCCGGCTGACTTGTCCTTCACATGCACTCCGCCTTCTTGCCTGCTCCACCTGCCTGCCACCCTGACTGCCCTCTGCCTTTCCCAGGTCTCTCCCAAATCCTGAGGCTTGTGCTGCAAGAGCTGAATCTGTTTTACAGCCGAGACGTGAGCGGACTGTGTCTCCTGTACGACCTCCTCCACTCCCCGTGGCTGCAGGCTCTGCTAAAGGTGTGCCCTGACGCTCAGAAGCCTTGGCCTATCCTGGGGGCAGAAACCGCCTACCCAGCAGGGCCGCGTGTCCCTGGCAGGAAATTCCAACTTGGAAAAACGTTCTCTTTTAAATGTGTTAAATGTATTTTTATTGATTTCAGAGAGGAAGGGAGAGCGAGAGAGAGACATATCAATGATGAGAGAGAATAATTGACCGGCTGCCTCCTGCTCACCCCACACTGGGGATGTACCCTGACTGGGAATCGAACCGTGACCTCCTGGTTCATAGGTCGATGCTCAACCACTGAGCCACGCTGGCTGAAAAAGTTCTTAGAGGGCAGTTCGCAGAGAGAGCTAACAAACCTCTTAGTTTAGGAAGGAACTGACTTAGATGGTAAAGAGTATGGCAGCTCCTTTCTTTTCTCCCTGAGGGCCCTGGGATCACAAAGCAGCCACGTTTATATCTTACGCTTACACAGTGTTATATACCCATTATATCTCAGGAAAGCTGGGGAAGCCCCACCTGGTTGCTGCCGGGTGCTTTTCCTCCTGGAGGAGCTGTGTGTCACTGAAGGCGCTGCCCTTCTCACACTGAGCGTCTGTGCTTGACGCTCCTGCCTCAGTGCATCAGCCTAGTGGGTCTGGGACAGTGAGCACTGGCCCTGAGGCAGGGCAGGAAGTGCAGCTTCCAGCTCTGGAGGGAGGAGACTGGGCTGTGCCGGCCTCTTGGTCTCGGTTCTGCATCCGTAAGAGAAACGATGTGTCTACAATGAGACGAAGGGCTGCACTGGAGCCAGGGGGGCCTTGGTGGACTCGGCCCAACCCTAGGTTCTGGTTGGAAAAAACTCCTAAGGGTCAGCAGAGACGAAGTCGGAATTTTTATAAATGAACTTTTACTGGAGAATTAGGGAAGGAGGAGAGAACAAACAAAAGATAATAGTGGAGATAAGCATCTGTGTGCCCGGCCTTTTGTTCACGTTCTTGGGCGAACCCTGATCCCAGAGCTCACATCTGCCCAGCTGCCCAGCCCAGGGCCTTGTGGGGGTCTGGCCCCAAGTCGCCATTGGTCTCAGTCCTAGAAACCCCTCTCTTTCTTGGTTTAACAAGAGTAAAAGTTGGAGTCTTTTTCAGTGAAGCCAGTTAGGGAAGGTCACTTTCCCATGGCAACCAGGAGGGGAGCCTTTGGAGCGTTAAAACCACCCAGCTTGGCGTCACTTCTCCTTGATGACCAGAGAGCCCTTATCAGAGGCCAACACGGCTGCCCAGCTGCTGTGCTGCTCCCAGGCTGTCCCTTCCCTTGGAGCTGCTGACCCCCAGCATGTCAGCAGGTCTGTGATGGACACGCCCTTCTCGCACCAACGCCCTCTGCAGGTTTATGACTGCCTCCAGGAATTTAAAGGGAAGAAACTCCTTCCTGCCACCTCCCAGGCACAGGCGCTGTCCCATGAGGTGAGGTGGCTTGTAGTCCACAGAACAGTGGAGCTCGAATGGGATGCACTTTACTCACAGGGCTTCTTTAAAGAAATCAAAGGCGCTCGTGGGAAAGTCTGATGGATGATTACGCATCCACTGAGGGTTTCTCATTGAGCTTCACTAGAAGGGAGGAAACTGGCCGGCTGTCTCCCACATTAAACAATTTCACAATGTATGCTTGTCATCAACCAGGTGGTGGAGATGTTACAGGCAGCCCCTGGCTCCCCCGAGATCCAGGAGCTGAGACAAATCCTCCAGGCTCCGCACTTTAAGGCAAGTGCTTGCTAAATGGATGAGACATGCCCACCTGGCACATAGACAAAGTAGGGAAAAGAAAGAATGTGCTGGAAAATGTGCTCTCTGAATACATGTCCTATTGCCGTACCTGGGTGACCTGCCGTTTGTATCAAAACATGTAGGAGTCAGATATGAGCAGCTCAATGCGTCAGTCATGAGCCAAGCCTGACGTATTTATGAGGAGACATCCAGAACTTTCCATGGTGTCTTATTTCCCTCCCTGCAAAGCCTCTAAAATTCCGGCGCAACCAAGGTAGCATCCTTCCTTTCCATTTTGGGAATATTTTAAGTTTTGGATAAAGTGTGTGAAGGTATGTAGGAACCACAGCATAGTGACGATTAGCTCTATGGGGACAGAGGGTATATGGAAAACATTTGATGGCAGAAGAAAAGCCTACCTCTTAGTACTTACAGATTTGAGATTAATTTATCAGCACATGAGAACTTCAGGAGAATGTCTGCATTTGGAGCAATGGAATTTATGAGTCAAAAATTTTAATTCACAAAATAACCCTAGAGAATTTTCTCTGAGTTCCAATGAAGCTCTGCCCCACATACCTAGGCAGGGCTGTAGGACTGCTCCCCACCCCATGGAATGGAAAGTTTAACATAGTGGGTCGTTAGAAGGAACTTTTTATCATACCTTAAACCAGGGAACTACTTTTTCTCATCCTGTTCCACATGAAATTTTGGTGACAGGTTAAGCAAATAAGGTGTTTTGATTATTGCCCTCCCCCACCCCCTATTCTGCCTTCATTAGGGAAAATATTAGAAAAGTTGTTTTTAGTTGTAGGTCATAGGAGCACCATGGATGACATGGGTTTCCAGGAAATGAGAACGTGACAGAATAATACATTTGAACAGAGATGAAAGACTAGATTAAGTATTGCTTAACCTCTCTGTGTCTTGCTTGTTTACCTGTAAAATGGGGACAATAAGTGTTCCTGCCTCACAGAGTATCCTGAAGACTGAGCCCATCCACTTTATAAAATGCTTAGAACTGCACCTGGCATGTATGTGTTGATGGCTGTCATTGTGTCTCACATAGTATCAAGTCACTGTCTCCTAGATGGCTGTGTCCATGGGTGACGTCTGTTCACCTTGTCCTTCCCTGTCCCCAGGCCTTACTCAGTGCCCATGACACTGTGGCTCAGAAAGATTTTGAGCCCCTTCTGCCCCCACTGCCGGACAACATCCCTGAGGGTGAGGAAGCAATGAGGATTGTTTGTTTGGTGAAAAACCAACAGCCCCTGGTAAGACAACCATTTTATAATTTCAGTTGGAATTATACCGGGGTTCATGGTGAACTTGATGATCTCTAGAGGTTACCTGGCCGTATTCTTGCCTGTGCTCCCAGGCACAGTCCGAGGCACTCAGAGCATGTAAGGGACACCTACAGTAATAATGGCTAACCTGGATCTTAGGGACTTTTGCGTGTGGCTTCAAGCACATCACATGTTGTAACGCTTCCACGAGGAAAGATTTCCGTGTAGTGTTTTTCTTTTTTGAAAGAGCTATGAGATAAGACATATATTTGATTATTTGGCTTTCTGGCATGTACAAATATTTCACTCAATTCCAATGTATTTGCCTAAGTCCCCCCCCCCCTCATTCCCATTAATGGGAAGCCAAGTAAGGCATCCATTTGATTTTCTAGGAATAGCCCCCTTGATTAGGTTGTAATTGTGGGAGGTTTCTTTATCTTTGGAAGGATCTAAATATGGTTTATGTCTGTGTGGTTAGAGAACTCAGGGGGCCGACGTTGAATGGCCTTTCCCTTTTATTTATTTATTTATTTATTTATTTATTTATTTATTTTTAATATATCTTTATTGATTTCAGAGAGGAAGGGAGAGGGAAAGAGAGATAGAAATATCAATGATGAGAGAGAATCATTGATTGGCTGCCTCCTGCACGTCCCCTAATGGGGATCAAGCCCGCAACCCAGGCATGTACCCTTGACCGGAATCGAACCTGGGACCCTTCAGTCCGCAGGCTGACGCTCTATCCACTGAGCCAAACCACTGAGCTAGGGCGGCCTTTCCCTTTTGATGGCTTGGTAGGGCCCTGCTTGGTATGAATGCCTTCATCTGAAAGACCAGAGCTCCACTGAGGGAAGCCAGCAGGAGAATGGTCACGAAGCTGAAAGAGGAATTCCATTGTACTCTCTCCCCAGGGAGCTACCATCAAGCGCCACGAGATGACGGGGGACATCCTGGTGGCCAGAGTCATCCACGGCGGGCTGGCCGAGAGGAGTGGTAGGCTGGAGCCGCAGGGTACAGTGGGGCCCGGAAACTAGGACACGCTTGATAGTTTAGTCTTCGTGGCAGGAAAAGCCCTCTGTCCTAACTAAGGTTGGGGCTGTAATAAGTGCCGTTGCATTGCTTGGTTACTAAAGAAAGAAGGAATAAATATTCCAGAGGAATCCTGTTCCTCCACTGATTCCTCCACCTGGGCTCCATAATAATGTTCTCTCAGTTCTCATGGCAACATCACAAGGTAAGTATTGTCATTGCCATTTTACAGATGAGGAAACTGAGGCTCCAAGTGATTAACGAACTTGCTCAATTTGAGTCAGGATTCAAGTCCAGGTCGGCCTCACTCTGTGTTCCCAACTTTCACTCTTCACTTGGTCCTCCTGCTTTCAAAAGGCATAGCTCTTCCCCATCCTGAAAGGCCCTTCGCTGGCCCTCTCTTTCTGCCATGGACCTTACACTGCTGTGCTACTGAAGCAAGCAGTTCTGTCCCTGCTGCCCCCTGTCCTCACTGTCCGTGGCCCCAACACCTGGCACAGGGTTTTACCCCAACATCCTTACAGTCACCACCCCGGGATTTCCTAGTTGACAGGCCCACTGGCCCTTCCTCCAGCCTCCCCAGCACATGTGATGTTGTTGACCTTGCCTTTCTTGCAACTGTCATCCTCCTTGGTTTCTGGTCAACGACATCGTCCTGCTTCTTGTCTCCTCTCCCTCACAGTCCCACGGCTTTCCTTCGTATCTCTCAAGGCTTCATCCTCACCCCCACGTTTCTCTATTGAGGTGTCCCCCCCTTTTCCTTTCCACTTATCATTTCCTCGGGACCCTGGCATCTTTACTTGCAGTGTTATCTCCTCATTTTACAACATCAGATTAGTAAAAATAAAGATGCCACCATCCGTCAATACCCAGGGTTGGTGGAGAAGTGGGAGAAGGCAGTTCTCCTGCACTTTGGTGGTGGTGTAAACGGAATAACCATGTTGCTTTATTAGTATTAGCATTCGTATTTCACAGTCGATTTTTAACCGTCAGAGCATGCTTGAGCTAGCGACTTCATTACAGTGCTGTGGGATAGGTGCCTCTCTCTCTGCCAATATCTTTGTCCCCTTCTTTGTTTTGTGTTCCTGGCTGCCTAGGTTTGTTATACGCCGGAGACAAGCTGGTGGAAGTGAATGGAGTTGCAGTGGAGGGACTGGACCCCGAGCAAGTGATCCACATCCTGGTAACAGCCTCCTCTTGGCCCTCCTCGTGCCTCACTGAGATGCGAGGCTGAACGGGCCGTGCAGCCCCTGGCGTGTTCACTGTGTGTGAGGGCGACTTGATCCCTCTCCACACGTCCTCTCTCCAGGCCCCAGACTAGTCTGTTTCTGTCTGCCACCCGCCCACCCTCGGGAAGAGACCTCCCTTCCCCCGCGGCTCTCCCTGTCTCAGGGCGCCTGCCAGGTACCCTGCCCAGGCCCTTCATCACCTGGGTTGCTCCACTGGAAACGGAGCTCACGTGGGCAGAGTGAGACTGGAGCAGAGCCTGAACCTGAGCAGGCCACCCTTTGCTCCCCTAACACTTTGTACAGCTGAAATCTGCTTCACATCTTCCTTGAGGCCGTTTTGGGGTGAGAAAGAAGTCACCCAGGGCAGCGTGGGGCGCGGGACATGCTTGGTGGTGTGCACTGGAAGTTTCTGACCTGGTTATACAGGCCTCTTCTCTCCTTTAGGTCCCTATTCCCGTCCTTCAAACAGTTGCCTGAATCACAGGCCTGCTGTCAATAGCATAGTAGTTTGCCCCCCAACCCCCATCTCCCCCGGGCACACCCCAGGTGTGGGGCCTGTATCGTGTACACCAGTGGTCCTCAGCCCGGGTTCTTTGGGAAATGGAAGTTTTATGTGCCTCGGGGACCGAGAGGGGGAGTGGTATTATAAGGAGTATATCAAGCGCCTACATATTTTGCAGCCACTGCTGTGAGAGTGTGTGTGGTACACAGGGAGCTTGGAGTGCTGTCCATCACAGACCCACTGCCTCCACCTCAGTCCGGGGCCAGGAGTAGAGTTGCAGGACAATGGGGCTGTGACATTCCTAAGAGTGAGAGCAAGGTTTTGTTAATGTCTCCACCTCCAATGCCTGCAACAGTGTGGGTGAAAGAGTGATTGTTACCTTCCCTGTTGGGCGGACAGGTTTTCTGTCTCCTCCAAATGTGTGAGGGCCCCCCATTGTCACCATTAGCTTATCAACCCCCTCCGCCCCCCCCGCAGGAGACTTGGGAGCCCCTCATTTCCCCTCACACCGGGCTGCTGGTGCAGGACCAGGAAATAATTACTGACTGAGGTTTGAAGAGGGGGTGTCAGATGGAGAGCTCAGCTCCTCCCCAGCGCCTGTGGGAGGGAGACCTTGCTGGGTGGGGTGGTCCTGGTGGCAGTTAGGAGGAGGGTCCCTGGGGGAGGCCAGGCCTTGGTGCAGGTTTTAGCGGACTCTGGAGCAGGGCAGAGCTAAACTACTTCCTAATTTCCATTTCTGGGTGGTCCTGTTTAGCCGTGAGCCCTTGTAAAAGTCCCTGCGGAGGAAAGCACCATGCACTTGGGCATTTGAGTTTCAGCTCCCTGTGCTGAATCCCAGGAACGCACTGAACTCGGCGAGTTGTCATTCTTCCCTCTCTGACATTTTCCAGGCCATGTCTCGCGGCACAATCATGTTCAAGGTGGTTCCAGTTTCTGACCCGCCTGTGAACAGCCAGAAGATGGTGAGAATTTACTGTGCCTTCATGCTACTGTTCTCTATGCTCTTGAGCACTTGTTCAATACTGTGTTTATTTTTCAATACTGATGACATGAGAGGCAAATGAATAAATGAATACAATAAAAGGAGATTAGGTACCAAGCAGTTAAGAAGTCATATAAAGAATGGCGAACATGCTCTAGCTGGTTTGGCTCAGTGGATAGAGCATCAGCCTGTGGACCAAAGGGTCCCGGGTTCAATTCTGGTCAAGGGCATGTACCTTGGTTGCAGTCACCTCCCCGGCCCGGGCCCTGGTTGGGGCTCACGCAGGAGGCAACCAATCGATGCGTTTCTCTCACATTGATATTTCTCTCTGTCTTTCCCTCTCTCTAAAAATTAATGGAAAAATATCCTCAGGTGAGGATTAAAAAAAAAAAAGAATGGTGAACATTTGAGCAAAACCTCTCAGAACTAAGAGATTCTATTCCTAAAGTCACTTTTCCCATAGCTCTTGACTCAGTTCAAGAGGCAAGTTCTCCTTTTTTGTGGTGGAGAGGAAAGATGGAACGGTAGGTGGAAGAATGGAAGAAAGTTGTGTCTGGGGGGCCCATGCGTGCACGGCTTCTTCTGATAGTGCCATTATGCACCCCCTGTCAGGTGTACGTTCGAGCCATGACTGAGTACTGGCCCCAGGAGGACCCCACCATCCCGTGTGCGGAAGCCGGGCTGCCTTTCCAGAAGGGGGACATCCTCCAGGTGGTGGACCAGAGTGATGCGCTCTGGTGGCAGGCCCGGAAAGTCTCAGCCCTGGGCACCTGTGCTGGCCTCATCCCTTCCAGCCACCTTCTGAAGAGGTGAGGAGAGTGCGCACTCCTGGACTCAGCACTGAGCCCTCGGGAAATAAAGTGTTTTCACCGGCTTCATTACTGCAGTTCAGATGAGAAGAAAGAGACCAGCAGATGGACAAACTCACACACTGGCTTATAAATCCAAGTGCCAGCTTATCCATATGCCCTAAGCGTACTAAATACCAAAGAACTCGGAGAGTAATACAGTTAGAAAAGAGGGAAAACATGTAGGAAACTAAACTGCAAATGGTAGTTCCAACTCCTCTCTTAATCTTTCGAGGCTGAGTTGAAACCTCAGATACTGAATCTCAACCCATCACCCTCGCTTCTGTGCTATTGAGGTTCAAGGGAGTGAGTAAAGACAGAAAAAATTTTTTGACAAGGTTGAAGGCTCAGCCCATGTTAAGAAACCAGGAAGTAGAAAAGAACCTAGCAAAGGATATTGAGAATAAATGACCAATGAGGCAGGATGAAAATCAAGACAGTATGGTGTTCTGATCAACTAGGTCAATTGCTGTTGAGGGGACTGAGAACTGACCATTGAACTTAGCAACATGGATGTCCTTGGGGGTCCTGATAAAAGTGATTTCCGTGGAGGGGTGGGGCCAAAATGCTAGCAGAGTGAGATGTGAAGAAATTGATGACGGTGAGCAGGGGAAAAAATTTGAGACATTTTGGTATAAAGCTGAGCAGAAAAATGGAGAAATTGCTAGAGGGGAAAGTAGAGAATTTTGTGTAGGTGGGATAAATAACACTAGTGCGAATAGTCCAGTGAGAAGGAAATGTTTTATGACTTAGGGGAAAGAGAAGAGAACTGCCTTGAGCAGGTAGAAGAGGGGTCGGCCATAGGTGGGGTCATCCACAGTTCATCCTCAGCAACGGTGACGGCAGGGAATCGGAGAACGCAGCAGGCGTGGGGGTGGGGATATGGTCGAGCTTGTGGAAGTTCTCTTCCAACTGCTCTGACTTTCTCAGTGAAGAAAGCAACCGTGTCATGAGCTGAGAGTAAAGGGTGGGTAAGGAGGTGCTGGGAAGGAGCGAGGAGACAACTGAAGCGTTTCTGTGAGAGTTGGAGAGCGAATGGATTAGGTGGATACGGTATGATCGATATTAAGGGCCCACTTAAGGTTAAAGGGCATACATTTGTTCAGTTTCCTTGGGGGCAGGCCAGGATTAGACAGAGAGTTGGATTTAACAGCCTAAGGAGGAACTAAAATGAAGGAACATGGCATAAAGAGGGAGGTGAGGAGGTCAGGTCGGTGGAATGGTTCTAGAAAGATCAGTGGATTATAGGTCCTGTGGGGTCAACGGATTATTGGGGTTGGGAAGGTAGGGGATGCTGGTGAGAGAAAGGGGTGCTGGGAATTGAAATTATGGAGAGATTGTGGCTATTGGTCTGAGAAGTTCTAGGGTATGACAGTGGGAGGCAGTGGCGCAGATAGAACGCGGGGAAGGTCATTGGGAGAGAGGACATCCAGGAACCGAGCAGCAGGGTGTTAGAAGAGGTATTTATGTGCCTGATAGAGTCTTCGGGAATTAGGGCAGAGCTGTGCTGAGAGCGTGAGGTGAGCAGGAGTAATCTGAGGTCACCAGAAGGAGGGGAGGATAATGGTCAGAGCTGGGGATTCTAGGGAGGAGGGAGAACAGTCTGGAGAAGCCGGGCGAAGCAAGGACACGGACCCAGCTCCAGGCGTGAGCAGCGGTGCGCTGGGCCGGCTGACAGCCACTGTGTGCCCCTCTCTCAGCCAGGGTGGCTCCTTCCCAGCACCTCCTTACCCACCCCTTCTCAGCCAGGTCAGCGAAGTCAGGGTGGCAGCTGGCAGCCAGCCACGTGGCAGCGCCGACACCAGAGGAACTGGCAAAAGCTACATATCGGGGCTCCCCCTGGAAAGGTGCAGGCACAGCTGGCCTCAGGGAGGCCTGGGCTTTCCTAGAGCGAGGATGTGAAGAGCTCGCTCACAGGTGGGGGCGGGTATGTGTGAGAGGGCTCAGGGAGGGGCGTGGTGGGCAGTCTACAGGGATTAGAGTGTAGGGGATAAGGTGGCCTGAGCTCTGGGGGCTGAGGACATGAACAGGGACAAAGGCCCAAAGAGATCGCTCTTCATGGTCTCATGAGGGCAGATGTGGCGAGGAGGCTGTGGTGGGGTCCTGCACGGAGCACACGAAATGCCAGGTTTATTGGACGAGGAATGTAGCAGGAACTGAGACCGTGTGTCTCTAAAGGAACTGTGGAGGGCAGGCATCCACAGCCGGAGGGAAACAACCTGCTAGAACATTCTAGTGAGACCAGCTGAGGAGGGGAGGGAGCCGGAGAGCAGGGCTCCTGTCCGGAGGCCTGTGGCCTGCAAACTAGTGGTCACGGGCAGATTTTCACTCTAAGTCAGTGTGGCTCTAACACTATCCCATGAGGCAGGAGAAGCATCAGAAAGGCTGTGTATTTAGAGAATGTATTTGACAATGTGTTGGGGGAAGAAATCTTTTTCATGTGGGTGGAGGCAGCAAGATTCTAGGAACATTCTGACCTGGATCTGTACCTCCTGGGTTGACCTGGGTTGACTTTTCTTCTGATAGTGCGTTTCTTTTTTCGTAGGAAGCAACGAGAGTTCTGGTGGTCTCAGCCATACCAGCCCCACACCCACCTCAAATCACCCATGTGTGAGTGTGCTGATACCTCAGACCCAGCATGTGCACCGGGGCAAACTGGCGTCCTCTCTCAGGGCTGGCTTCCTGCCCAAGACAGGATCTTTATTTTTATTTTTTAAATATATTTTTATTGATTTCAGAAATGAAGGGAGAGGGAGAGGGAGATAGAAACATCAACGATGAGAATCATTGGTTGGCTGCCTCCTGCACGCCCCACACTGGGAATTGAGCCTGCAACCCTCGCTGGTTCATAGGTCGATGCTCGACCACTGAGCCATGCAGGCCAGGCTCCTTTGTGTTTTAACAAAGTTTGTGTATCAAGCCAGATTGACATACTTCTCTAATTCACTTTCCTATTTCATTTCTCAAATACACATGGGAATGCTAACAAAGCTTCTAATCAGTATCTGATAACTAGTATGGCCTCTGGGTGACATGTAATTCGCTCATATATCCTAAGTGCAATTTTTATCAGAGTTTTTGAAAAGCCCATCCTGAAAATCGCTTGCAGACCCTATTAAATCCTCACCAATCCCTAAGTCCAGGAATGCCAGGGTTGGAGCCACTGACCCAAAGGGTCACCTCTTACAGGGATGTTTCTGATGGAGTACAATCACTTTCTAAACTATTAGATCATTTCTTTTTAACTGTTGTAGATGATTCTACAATAGATATTATTTCATATCTGCCTGGTCTGTTTAAATGTTACCTTAGGAAAAAGAAATCCCAGGAGCAGTTTACTGAGTCGAGATTTGGGCGTTTTTATTAATGAAGACTTATTGAAAAATTCCAGGCCTGTGCTAGTTTGCAGATGGTTATCAAAATGTATTTTCTGAAGATGCACTTATAGTTGTCATCCCTCTTTCTTTCCCACTTTCTTTTCTTTCCTTCCTCCCTCCCTACCTCCCTCCCTCCCTCCTTCCTTCCCTTCCTGTCAAGATACAAGTTCCTAAAATAAAGTGAGTAGAATGTTCTCACTAGAACATTTCATCCCAAATCTTTTATAGCTTATTGAGATGAAAAGTAGGATTTGCCAGAAACAAGTAGATCCCCAATTTTAATAAGGCTCATAAATATATTAGTTTCTACAAGCTATTCACTTATCATTTTGTTACTAAATCTTTACTAAATTTCTGGAGAATAAGCCCAGAATATTAATTACTATAATTTTGGCACTTTGCTTTCCTATTGTAAGTAAGCTAATATGAGAAACTGAGTATAGACTAATGTGTTCTCTCTCTCTCTCTCTCTCTCTCTCTCTCTCTCTCTCTCTCCTTCAATCATTTGTCTGTATCCAGCGATTTCTATGGAAGAAGGTAAAAAATAGTATTTGGGGAAAACCCTCATCTCCAAAGTCTCCTAGAAATCTCCTGTAGTTCTCCCCATCAGTTCCACTCAGTTCAGCTATTTATATATTTATTTATTTATTTTAATATATTTTTTTTATTGATTTTTTTTTTTACAGAGAGGAAGGGAGAGAGAGAGTCAGAAACATCAATGAGAGAGAAACATCGATCAGCCGCCTCCTGCATATCTCCTACTGGAGATGTGCCTGCAACCTAGGTACATGCCCTTGACCGGAATCGAACCTGGGACCTTCCAGTCTGCAGGCCGACGCTCTGTCCACTGAGCCAAACCGGTTTCGGCGTATTTATTAAGCTCTTACTATGTACCTAGTGGTGTTCTAGTCACTAATGCCCCAGTTTATAAAAAGATGTCAGTCAAAAGAACGCACACAGTGTATTTGTCTTAACACTGAGAGGAATAAAAGAAAAGAGAACTAACATTTACAGTGTGCAGTCCCACAGTCGAATGCAGCCCACCATAAGAACTCAGAAAAATAAAAAAGTTATGAAACTGCTTTACACATACTGTCTTTAAAATAGCAGCACCCTAGTCAGTAGTGTGGACTTGTTGATTTTGAGAGAGCAAAATCAGTAGCTCTATTAGATCCCAGAGTGACAAGTTTAAAAATCAGGGCTACTTATGCTGTTACTATAGCTTTTGTTTGCCTTTAAAAACAAAAAACAAAAAAAATTAGTTATGTCCTAGGAACTAGTGAATTCATTGTTGCTATAAATTACTACTCTAGAAAATAATCTCTAAATGAATATAAGGCATTGAATGACACTGTTGGAAATCTCAGCTAAGCTACTTGTTTATCTGTGCCCCTTCTCTATAAAATAGTATTATTTCATAAAATGTTTCGTATTGAACATTTTATTTTAAAATGTTGATTCATGGTGTGCCTTTTCGGGAGGTGATAAGTACTACTTTATAATATCATAGTTTATTATATAGAATACTAGAGGCCCGGTGCATGAAATTCGTGCAAGAGTAGGCCCTCGCAGCCCCACTGCCTCAGCCCTCACAGCCCTGGCTTCATCTGGAAGGTCGTCCAGAAGGTTGTCCGGACAGTCTTTCCGCTGTTCAGCTGTTCGGTCGATTTGCATATTATGCTTTTATTATTATAGATAATATGTACTTTTAGGACATACTTAACACATTTATTAAAGCACTATTTACTGATCTCCAGGGAAGTCCTGGCCACTGTGCTAGGCACAAGATGCACAGTGCTGAAATAAAACAGATTTTGATATTCAAAGGAAAATTCAACTCAGTTTAATAAATAATCCATGTACCTACTATGTTCAGGACATTGTACAAAGACCTGTAAAGTATGCAAACATTGGTAAGACATTTCCGCTCTCCAGGCACGGTCTAGGAGGGTGACTACGGCAAACAGACAATGGTTACATGACAAGGTAGATAAGATGTACAGCAGCAGAGTTCCAGGCAATAGGAAGAAAATGCCGTTCTGTTCACGGCAGGGACATTCATTTTGATCAGTGTTTCAGAGGGACCTTGAACATTACAGGCAGAAGCAACAGCGTAAGCAAAGGCCCAGAGGAAGAACCAGTGATGCCGACTCTAACAGGAGTGTAAGATCTGTGAGGGATGGAAGTGGTCAGGAGCCTTCAAAGTTGGGTTGGGGTCATGTTGTAAAGCAGCAATTTTTCATTTCACGGCACATACACTAATTACTAAAATTCTGCGGCACACCAAAAAATGTATTTTTTGCCAATCTGACAAATTTTATAATTTTGATTGATTTACAAAGTGACTTTTAAAAAAATCAGGTGCCTGTACTTGTATATAAGGATTTCTGGTGCCAAGAATTAACTGATCATATGCAACCTTATTATGCTACCCGACCAATGAGATGCAACTCTGTCCTATGACCTAAACACACAGGTCAGTTCAGGGCATTCACACTGACGGCTATTGTTGTGTTGGCTGCTGTCATTTTCTTATTTGACAACCTAAGGGAAAAGAGGTCAGTGCCCCTGGGTAAATAGTCAGGTGTTGAATGACTTAAAAATTCCTGTGGCTCACTGGTTGAAAATCGCTGTTGTAAAGGGTTTTCAGGATTAGGATGAATGGTCTTAAAAAGTTATATTCTCTTTTTTTTTTTTTAAATACTTTTTATTGATTTTTTACACAGAGGAAGGGAGAGGGACAGAGAGTTAGAAACATCGATGAGAGAGAAACATCGATCAGCCGTCTCCCGCACACTCCCCACTGGGGATGTGCCCACAACCAAGGCACATGCCCTTGACCAGAATCGAACCTGGGACCCTTGAGTCTGCAGGCTGACGCTCTATCCACTGAGCCAAACCGGTCAGGGCGATTCTCTTATCCTCTTATACATAACCAAGCTAAAGGTAAAAATAGTTAACATTTATTGAGTGTTTGTCATGTGCCTGAACTTTTCATCATCTTCCTTATTCCTGTCCTATATGGTCGGTATTATTACTATCACCATTTATAGAAACTGAAGGTTAAAGGCAAACTCCTGTGTCCAGCATTGGAAAGCCCCTGCTTTAAAATTTGTAACCATTTTATGTTATGTAGCCGCCCATATCATACATTTTCATTTAATACAGTGGAGTCCTTTTTATCCCGCAAGGGAGCAACAGTTGTAAGAGTAGCATTCTTATAAGCTGGTCTGTGCTTTACCGACATAGGCCTACATATAGGGGGTTTTGTTTGTGATGCTAACACATATTAAGGTCTACTCTTCTCTTTCTATGCTCTTGTATAGAAGACGACATGAAGATTGACGAGAAGTGTGTGGAAGCAGGTAACATTTCCTCTTGATAGTTTTATTACCAGCAGAAGAAATATGGAGCACCTCAGATCCAGAGTCCCTTAAGCTGAGTCAGCCAAAGGGGCCTCAGGCCTTTCCTCTGTTAGAGATGTGTAAAATGAATCCCCCACCCTCTCCTTCTTCTGTGGTTTTGACAGTTGGAAGGGCAGCCCAGCTGTGGGGATGTCTCCAGGTCTAACCAACCTTCTAGAAATCAGTACCTTGGAAATGATCCCAGCAACACTCGGGTGTTACATTCAGTAACATTCAGGTGGAACATATGGAAATCACCATGTAAAATACTATAAAATATTGAGGTATCAATTTTTAAAAAAATATATTTTATTGATTTTTTTACAGAGAGAAAGGGAGAGGGATAGAGAGTGAGAAACATCGATCAGCTGCCTCCTGCACACTCCCCACTGGGAATGTGCCCGCAACCAAGGTACATGCCCTTGGCCGGAATCGAACCTGGCACCTTTCAGTCTGCAGGCCAACGCTCTATCCACTGAGCCAAACCAGTCAGGGCTGAGGTATCAAATTTTTAAAAAGCAAAATATATATTTTGTTATTGTCTGATACCATCTTCTGTAGAGTCTAGTATAGATAAATAGTAGCGGGTTCCAAATTTTGAGAACTATATGAAAACCTTTTACATTTCTATACTTAATTTATTTTTATAAATTGGGAGATTTTTCTTATCTAGTGTCAGAACTACGATTGGCTCAAGAATCACTTGGGTTTTGTTGAGAGACTAGTTGAAGAGCGTCAGCCTGCGGACTGAAAGGTCCCGGGTTCGATTCCGGTCAAGGGCATGTACCTGGGTTGCGGGCACATCCCCAGTAGGGGATGTGCAGGAGGCAGCTGATCGATGTTCCTCTCTCATCGATGTTTCTAACTCTCTATCCCTCTCCCTTCCTCTCTGTAAAAAATCAATAAAATATATTATAAAAAAAAAAAAAAAAGAATCACTTGGGTTTTGTTGAGAGGCTAGTTGAAGAGACTTTGGTCTGATAGGTGAATTTTTCTTGGCTTTATGGTCCTGAAAAACATTCCACCACGTAAGTTTTAAGGATTTTATTGACTTTATGCAACGATTCATGAATCGGTCAGCATCGCATCTAGCAGATGGAAAAGAGCTCCGAGGAATTGTACAAAACGAAAGACTTTTATTTGCAAAAGGGAGCAGGAGCAAGGAAGTTATACTAGCAAAACGTGGGTTGGTTATGGCAAGGTCATTTCATTCAGGAGATGCAGGGGCCCTCAGGCAGGAGAGGTCAAATCATAATTCAGGTAAGTCTCAGCTTGGTGATGTGGGGCTTAGCATAAGTGACTCCATTTTGGGACTGTTGTCTTGTTGTTGTTTTTTAATATATTTTATTGATTTTTTACAGAGAGGAAGGGAGAGGGATAGAGAGTTAGAAACATCGATGAGAAAGAAACATCGATCAGCTGCCTCCTGCACACCCCCTACTGGGGATGTGCCCGCAACCAAGGTATATGCCCTTGACCGGAATCGAACCTGGGACCCTTCAGTCCGCAGGCCGATGCTCTATCCACTGAGCAAAACCGGTTGAGGCTGTTGTCTTGTTTTTAACAATAAGCTAGTCTAGTTTTTAGAAACTGAAGAACAATATGAAATCTTTAAATAGTAGGTATTTCAAAGATTCACATATACTTTCTAGAATAACTACAGAATAATGCTGATTTAATATTTATTTTTCCAGGTAATTATTCTTTTTTAAAAAATTTTGCAGTAAATTCATTTCCTTTCTCTAATTTTAATTTAAATTTTTATTAGGCAATACATTAACATATTTCAAATTCAAAAGCTACAGAATTATATTCAGTAAAAGTTCCTTTCTTTCCCCACTGCCCTACTCAGTTTTATTTCTTGAGGCAATAAATCCCCCCAGGTTCTTCCATAATCCCTCCAGGCGTGTTCTGTGCATATGAAAGCAGGGGTGTACATTTTTTCCTCCTCACTCTCACACTCATCCTTACCTTAAAAAACACACAAATAGCCGAAACCGGTTTGGCTCAGTGGATAGAGCGTCGGCCTGCGGACTGAAAGGTCCCAGGTTCAGTTCCGGTCAAGGGCATGTACCTGGGTTGCGGGCACATCCCCAGTAGGAGATGTGCAGGAGGCAGCTGATCGATGTTTCTCTCTCATCGATGTTTCTAACTCTCTATCTCTCTCCCTTCCTCTCTGTAAAAAATCAATAAAAATATATTAAAAAAAAAACACACAAATAAAAATACCCTCTGATAATACCCTACACAAACTGTTCTATTCCTGGCTTTTTTTACTTAGCATTATATATCTTGGAGATGATTCCATCTTAGTACATAAAAGCCACCTCATATTTTTTAAACAGCTTATTTGTATTATAAACCATGCTGCAATGAATACGTTAGCTGCAGCACTGCCTGATCCAGGGATGTGTGCATTGGTGATGTTGCTCTATATTTCAAGTTGCTCTCCATATAAAATCTAGTTTCTTAATCCTCAGTTTCTCTTTACAACACTAACAAGAACATATTAACTGATGAGAAAGTTGGGTTTTATCAAATCTTTCCCCGTCACCCAGTCAAGCCATTCAGATACTTATTCTCCTTGCCACACTTCCCTGGCTGAGGAACCCCCAGTCTTCCGCAGGGTGCACCCCTCCTGCATCTTCAGGCCCTCGAGCAGCAAAGCTGGGCAATACCCAACCACCTATACGAGCTCCCCACGACATTCCGCCTGTCCCTCCCCGCTGAGCCTCGTTTTAGTTATTCTCTTCTGTGTCATTTATTTTAAGCTCCTGCTGTACCCTTGCTTGACATCAAGGCCTGACTGCTTAACACCGTCTCTCATGTAAGGCTTATATGTGCCATAGAGACACCGTGGACTTGGCCTGGATTTAGGAACACATTTTGCAGTTGGTGTGTGTGCAGAAGCACAGGGACAGGGAATTAGGCTGTTAAACTGCAGATTGAGTATGACTAGTAATATAATGATGCTTTTGGTGTTTTGCCTCCATGGAAAACCATAGACGAAGAAACATTTGAATCAGGTAAGTAAAACATGAGTGTGTGGTTCTGATTTTAAAATGTATATAGTATTTCTCTCTCTCAAGCCTCATTCCATGCCAAGCAGAGAGGAGTTTTCATGGGTAAAAAGCCTTCAGGGAGAGTCCAGATAAGCAACTTGCAGAAAAAGCTAATGTGCCCCCAGCAGCAGGGTCATGCCAATGGCTCTGGGGGGTGAGGGGGAGGGTGTTGTTTGTCCTGCCAGGACTCCCAGGACTCCCAGCTTCTCTAAGGAGGACGTGACTGCCTCGCTTTGTCATTTGTCTTTATTTGATAGCTGCTTGATCTCAAAGGCTTAACTTTTTCATGTTTGTTTGTTTGTTTATTTATTTATTTATTTATTTATTTATTCTTACACTTCCTCAAATGTCCAGAGGAACTTTCAGAAGGTAACTGTTTTTATTTCCTGGGAAAGCCAAATAAAGCTATGTTTAAGATCTTTCAGTGCCTCAAAGTGAATACCTGACAGAATACATTTTAAGATACATGATATTTTAAGGCTGAAATATTCAATTTCATAGAAAATATTTAAAAGTAAACAATGCTGAAAGAAATTCAGCTTGATGAATAGATCCCTAAGTAAACATTTCCCTTTAAACTTACTGGCATATTTCAGTTAGAAAAATATGCTTACTTACCAGAGATGGAATCGATATTGGTGTGTTTTCTTTATATTTTAAAATGTGTTTTTTTTTTTTAAGAAAACAAAGGTTAAGAGGAAAAGCTTATATGTGTCAGTTCATTCTATGAACAAATGCTCTTTATGTATTTTTTCAATGATCAGAACAGAGTTGCATAAGTGATGAGAAACGGATGTTAGCAAAAAGTAACTGGAAATGACATTTCTGTAACATTTCTCTCTGGAGTTTGTAACAATTTCACTGAGACCCCAGGGGAAGCAGAGGCAGGAGTTTCAGGGCTGCTGGACAGTGTTCCTCCCTTTTTGCCTCTCCTGTTCTTGGACAGTTAGAAGTAAATGGCAGCTGTAGAGCAAATACTAACTCTGCAGAATGAGCCATTTAATAATCCTAATAAGGCTAATATGCAAATTGTCCCCTTGGGAGTTTGACCAGGAGTTCAATCGCTAGCTATGACGTGTGCTGACCACCAGGGGATGGTGTGGAACATGGCAGGCGACCAGCAGCGTTGGCGGGGTGCTGAGGGAGTGAGGGAAGGAGAAGGTGGGGAGGCCGGGAGGTGGGGAACCTGATTGGCCCTGATCGCTGGCCAGGCCTAGGGACCCTACCTGTGCATAGATTTTGTGCACCAAGCCTCTAGTGGAGAAGATAAAATCCCATCTCTAACAAAGAGGTTACTTACAGGACCTGCAGAAATCAATAGCTACAAATTAAAGCCAAACCCAGATATCTGTTTGTGTTTTTTCATCAGTTTACTTTGGGCATGTTTAAGAATATACCCAATTTTTATATGTTTTTACAATGACTCAATATCTTTCTTATAACTTTACATAAGCCTAAAATTGGTTCCTGTTCCCAACCGTACGAGACAGACTATATGAAGTGTATTGCTAACATTCTGAAGAGTGTCTCCATGTAGTTTGGAACACGGGATAGGATGGAAAGTGCTTAGGACATTCTTCAGTCAGTCCTCAAGGCTAAGACAGCGGTGCTGCCATCGACTGCAATAGGGTCACTGAAGATTTGGAGAGAATCGCATGCCTCTGTTCTAAGTAAACTTCTCCTCCTTCCCCATGTGTCCCGCTCCTGCCGCTCTCTGTGTCCCAGACAAGGAGGAGTTTGTTGGCTACGGTCAGAAGTTCTTTATCGGTAGGTGTGGATGAATCAGAGGTGGGTCTTTGTCACTCCCTAAGTTATATTCATACCTGACAACCTTCTGATAGCTTGTTTGGCTGGTGGACATTTCCAACCTTGTTCCTTGTTCTGGTTTTCCTCTATCTTTTGTGTGTGTGTGTGTGTGTGTGTGTGTGTGTATTCTGATGTGTTGACCATTCATTGTTATTCATCTGGTTTCCAGTGGATACTTCTTAATTATTTCCCCAATATAAATCCTTTGTATTCTGCCAGACTGTCCCACAAGTGCTCTTTAGTGATACAATAAGCAAATGTATTGAGGATATTAAGAGCTGTTTTTCTTTGTTAGAGAAAGGATTGTGGAAGGATTGTGGGGAGCGGGGTGGGCTGAGGCATGTTAAGATAAATCCTATAGTGCTGAATTGGCCTTGAAGGTATTGGTGTCAACTCATGCTTTTCAACATATATAGATGCAAATATAGATGTGTGTGTGTGTGTGTGTGTGTGTGTGTGTGTGTGTGTGTGTGTGTGATATACATACATAGTCCCCAGCTCTGTCTACTGAGGGGGCCTGGGAGCAGCTTTGGCACTACCAGAAAGCCCTGTGGTTCAGTGGGCAGATTAAGCAGGATCCCAGGAGTTTGCAAATCACGACTAAAATGTCCAACTCTGCCACTGGACACACAGTTGTGAGCAACCACCAATCCTGTCTGTGTCTTAGTGTTTCCATCGGAGAATGTGAGTAATAAGCCTGCTCCACTGTTTCTACCCTGGCCCGAGCCACCAGCCCCCCTCATCTGGGAGTAGCCCCAAACTGCTGCCCCCTGACCCTATGCCTCCTCAGCCTACAGTTTACATCCCGCCTTCAGCAACTGGAGGAATTCTTTCAACATAAACCAAATCATGTCACACCCACCTCTTGACCATCCAGTGACTTCCCACCCCACTTTGACCACAGTCCAACATGGGACCGAGGCCCTGTGTGGTCTCCCCAGCTTCCGCTCCAACCCACTTCCTCCCACTGTCCCTACTGCTCACTGCCCACGGCTACACACGCTTCATGCTCTTCCTCAAGCGCTTCGAGCCCGCTCCTTTCTCTGCACCTTTGCAGTGGCTGTTCCCTCAGCCGGGTCTGCTCTTCCCCCCAGATGCCTCCTTAGCTGGCTCCATTACCTACTCAGTGTCAATGTTTTGGACACTTAACTGAACCGCCTACCTGAAGAAGCACCTTGTCAACTCTCTATCCACCGATCCTCCTCCTAAGCACTCGTTGTCGTTGTTGATTTTTGTCTCTCCTCCTCCATAAGATGTAAATTCATGAGGAAAAGGCCTGGGTTTAGTTGGCCGTTATCTGACCAGCACCTGTACAATGCCTGGCACATAGTGGGCGCTGGGTGTCACTTAGAGGTAACGTCTGGGCATCTTGTTTTTCCTTCCTATCGCTTCCTCTCTCCTACCGTCAGACAGGCATGGCTCTGCTAGTCAGCATTTCAGATGGCAGTCACGGCGTGTCCACCAGGTTGGACGCTGGATGGAATCTCTCCTGCCTGGATCTCACGTTCTGTGCTTTTCCCCTCCAGCCGGTTTCCGCCGCAGCATGCGTCTCTGTCGCAGGAGGTCTCTCCTCCCCACCCTGTGCTGCCCCAGCAGCTGCCCCAGTGCGGCCGGGGCCCCCTATGAGGAGGTGGTGAGGCACCAGCGGTGCCCCTCGGACAAGCACCGCCTCATCGTGCTTGTGGGTACGTCCCATCCAGGCGGGCAGTGTCTCTCCTGCTCCACAGTGAGGTCTCCCTTCTCCACTCAGTGGTGAACGCAGAACTCTTAGGGGCTGCCATAGGGACAGCTTAAAAAGTAAAGGCTGTTTTATGTGTGTGTGTTTATAGATAAACCCTTAGACAACTGTAGACAACATCATGCTTTTATTGTCTACAGTTGAATGTCACATGCCATAGTATATTTGAACTTGTAGAATAACAAGTTGTATGGTGATGAGGTCATAACTGAGATTTACTTATTTATATACTAGAGGCCTGATGCACAAAAATTTGTGCACTCGGGGGTGGGGGGGTCCCCTCAGCCTGGCCTGTGCCCTCTTGCAGTCTGGGACCCCTTGGGGGATGACCACCTGCTGAATTGGCCCACTCCCTGGGGGATCGGGCCTAAGCTGGCAGTCAGATATAACTCTGGCAGCCTGACATCACTCTGGCAGCCCGGGAGCCCTCGGGGGATGTCCACTTGCCAGCGGGGAGCAGACCTAAGCTGCAGTCGGACATCCTTAGCGCTGCTGAGGAGGCAGGAGAGGCTCCCACCACCACTGCTGTACTGGCAGCCATCAGCCTGGCTTGTGGCTGAGCAGAGCTCCTCCATGTGGAAGCTCACTGACCACCAGGGGGCAGCTCCTACGTTGAGCGTCTGCCCCCTGGTGGTCAGTGTGTGTCATAGTGACCAGTCATTTCCAGTCGTTCTGCTGTTAGGGTCAGTTTGCATATTACCCTTTTATTATATAGGATTTATTTTTTTGCCTGATTAGAATTTGTTCTCCAAGCATAAATGACTGTGCTCCCAGACTGGATCATTAGTCTGTATAAGGGAAAAAAAATCCTTAAGATCCATTTTTAAAAGAAATTTGTAACCATCTCCTTTAGAGAAGTGTCAAAAACTCCTGGGCCGTACCATTGGTGCTAAACAAGGCACATAAGTGCGGATTGACCTTTTGTGACCCAGATCCCCACCAGGCGGTCCCGGCAGCGGCAGTCACCTCGTCTCACTGCCACCTGCTCTGCGATCAGGGAAGGTCCCTGGAGGGCTAACAACGTGGCTTATAGCCAGGACCTGCAGAGTGTGCAGGGCACAGTGCAAAACAGGACTGCAAGGCCCCTTGTTCAAAAGTTACTAGGGATTTACCGCAGCAAAAGAAGAGCATTTAACCAAGTGCAGTCCCTGAAGCATGGGCCCTGCGTACTGCACGGGCTCCGTGCCCAGGAGGTCAGCCCTGCCTCCAGTGGCACGTGGGGTGTTGACTCAACCGCCTGTCGCCTGTCAGGAAAAGTGCCCCTGACTTCTGTCAGTCGCAGGACCGCTCACTGTGGGGCCTGGCTTCTGGGTGGCAGATGCTCTGAAATGAGGTAGAGAATTCGCTCAGGGTCCACGTTAGACGAGGTTGGCTGGGGTGTCAGTTTCCGGCAACTCCCCACCTCATTTCTGCACGTTGAAGAAGTGTGGATCCTTCTGGGCTGCTCCAGTGCATGAGACGGGAAGCTCTGCCATTTCCCTAAGCACAGGTGCTCTCGAGTTTCTTCAGGGGAAGGACTGACATGGTGGTTTCACCACCTCACTGTACCCGCCCACATCTGACGAGTTCTGTCTGGGACTGTTTGTGTGTAGGGCCTTCTGGTGTTGGAGTGAACGAACTGAGAAGACAACTCATTGAACTTAATCCTGGCCGTTTTCGGACTGCTGTGCCACGTATGTTTCGTCTCTCTTCCGTAGCGGTTCATGTTTCGGTAAACATTTCTTTGCGTCTGCAGATGCACCGAACTCACTCAGTTATGTCATACCCTCTTTGTTGTAAAAATATACGACACAAGGGCAGTTCTTAAAATTTCTAACTGTACTTATTTTAAAGAGGGAAATGATTTACTAACTAGGCTTTTAAAAGGTGACTGTCTTTTTTCCATTTGTTAACAATCATATAAATGACCTTTCAGGACCACTGATATAAAGCAATAGTAACTACCATTTGTTCAGTACTTGCTATCTTCCTGGCACTGTGCTTGACTCTTATTTGCTTTTTTATTAAAATGTATAATATATGCACATATAATGTTATGTAGCTATAAGTGTGATTGCACCGTACATTGTGGGAAGAGTTTGCGGGTGCTTCCCCTTCACCCCAAGGCAAGACAGAGGACCTTAGGGAAGCCACTTAAAGAGCTTAATATGGGTTTCCTGCAATTTAGGTGTCAAACTGAACCTAAAAATATCTAAAGGACAGAGCTTGGAGGAAGCGACCAGCGGCTGTAGTTTTGGAAGTAGCTGCCCTTTTAGAGTCTGTCACAGCAAAAAATGTTGTGATGTTTCCCAAGGACCAGATGCGGGTGGATGATGTGGGAGAGCGACCCCTGAGGTTGTCTTAGTTTTGCCAAAGAGGAAGTCTCAGTAGGAAGAGGCCAAAAGGGGACCCCAGATACTTCAGGGTGTGGACGAAATCACAAATGGCTGGCTGGAATGGGGATGGATTTGAGTACACGTTCGTTGAACAAATGGATGAGCAGACAATGGATCACTTTCAGGTCTTCAGTGGACTCCTATGTCCCAGACCAGATGCTATTTAAGTTGAAGACTGTAATCAAAGTGCTCATATCAACCAATCAGACTGAATTCAGACCCCACCGCCCTCTCCCTTCTGGAGATCCCTAAAACGAGTCACCATTTCCCACAGACTGCGGACGGTCCTTGGCTTTCTCCATTTCAAATCTGACACACTCCGGTGCCGTAGAAAACAGTCTAGGAGGAGTCAGAACACCTAGGTTCTTGTTCTCAACGTAGCTTTTCATTAGTCTGTGTATGTGAGCAAGTCAGTTCCTCTCTGAAATCTTCAGTTAGCTATGGTAATAGCATTTCACCTGGCTAGGAGTGGGAGGGGTGAAAGGAGATCTGTGAAGTGCACCATGTAAACATAACATATTGCTGGGATTGCTACCTGGGAGGCATATTAGGGCTCATACATAATTCACTGTTGCTTATTTAGAAGTTAGATCAGGTGTTCCCTTAGGGTATCCCTAGCCTGGCTTAATACCTAATATATTCTTGTCCACACCATGAGCCTTAAATAAAGGTTTACAGATTGAATAATTTTGATATGAGAACTACTTTCTTATCACCAAGTCAGACTTCTTTTTGGTTTTAGTATTTTATTTGTCTACCTATTTATGTATTCATTCACTTATTTTGTAATGAATCAAAACATTTTGAAGACTCTAAAATCTTTAAAATTTCTTTTTGACAGATACTACTCGTTCCAAAAAGAGTTATGAAGTAGATGGGCGTGAGTATCACTATGTGTCAAAGGAAACATTTGAAAGCCTCATGTGTAGTCACAGGTAAGCTCCAGGTTTAGAATCTGAGTCTCACCTCTGCTTGTTTTACATTCAAACTAGAGTCTCTAGTTTATGCACTGCTCAAAGCTTCTGAGGAAACTGATTTTTGTTTCTGAAGAATTAACCAAATTGATATACTCGTAAACCAGTCACTGGGCTCTGAGAGGGAGCAGAATAGAAGTGCAAATTTTAGAGAATTTGGAGAATTCATTAAGTCTTAGATCTCCTAATATTTTTTTCTCCTGTCAAATGTCCACTAATTGTTTTTGTGCTAGCAAAGTTCAGTATTTTATTCCATTCTGTTGGGGTTTATCTTCATGTTGCTACTACTAATATCTTACCTGTAGAAAGAGTTCTTGTTTTCTTTGTCCCGCCCTTGCAGGATGCTCGAGTATGGGGAGTACAAAGGCCACTTCTATGGCACCAGCGTGGATGCTGTGCAAGCCGTCCTCGATGAAGGGATGATCTGTGTCATGGACTTAGAGCCTCAGGTGGGTCTGTGGTGGAATGTTTCCCATCTTCCCAAAGTAATGAATGCATGCCATTCTTTTGGGCACGTGCTATAGGTTTTATTTTGTTACTGTTGGCCTTTTAAGGATAAGACTACTTTCCATATCCAAGGGCCAGAATCTTACATAAAGAATCAATTGTCACCCTAGCTGGTTTGGCTCAGTGGATAGAGCATCTGCCTGCAGGTTCCCAGGTTCAATTCCAGCCAAGGGCATATGCCTGGGTGGTGAGCTCGATCCCCAGTAGGGGGTGTGCAGGAGGCAGCTGATCAATGATTCTCTCTTATCATTGATGTTCCTATCTCTCTCCCCCTCTCCCTTCCTCTCTAAAATCAATAAAAAAATATTTTTTTAAAAGAACCAATTGCCAATAGCTTATGTATAGTTGGGAAATAAATTTAGTTTCTCAGATACAAAACCAGAACTTAAGGGGTAGCCATAAAGAAAACTTAGAATCTTGCTTTGACCTTGATCACAAAGGCATCAAGTTACTTCATAGAAGGAATAAGATGTTGCTTTACTCAAGGAGGTGAGGTTTCTATGTTATTATATCTATAGCTACCTCCTCAAGACTATATGTGGAATGGAGCAGGAGTGAGCAAGTTAAGATAAGATAAAGAACATACAATGTGTAGGCCCAATTTTTATGATACTTGTATTTTCTTTCCTTTTTCTATAGTCATTTAAAAGTATACCTGTGTGCTAAAGAGAATCAGGAAATGATAGATTTGTTCTTACGAGGGTCAAAGCTGGTGGTCAGTGTGATGTCAATAGTATCAATGGCAAGAGGAAAGGGAAGTGAGGATGAAACAGAGCTGATCCTCCTTGGGAGTGTCTGTCTTTGTCTTTGTCTCGTGAGATCATGTATAGAATCCTATTCTTGAGTTTCAATAAGATGTCATGGCTAGTGAGAGGAAGAGTCGGGATTTAAAGTAAATTTTTATTCTAGAATCCTATCTCTTGATTATTGTTTTTTAAATATATTTTTATATGGATTTCAGAGAGGAAGGGAAAGGGGTTGAGAGATAGAAACATGATGAGAGAGAATCATTCATTGACTGCCTCCTGCACGCCCCCTACTGGGGGGTGATTGAGCCCGCAACATGGGCATATGTCCTTGGCCAGAATTGAACCAGACCAAAGGCCAATGCTCTATCCACTGATCCAAACTGGCTAGGGCTCTCTTGATTATTAAAATGTTTTTTAGAGTTGAGAACTTGGGGGCACATGAGAATATACTCTGGCTACAAATAATTGCTAATTTCTGGTCTGAGAAATTTTGAGAACATTCATGTTGACTCTAGGAAATTAGGACTTGTATGTGTGTGTTTTTAATTCTCACCAAAGGCTATTTTTTTTTTTTTATTGATGAGAGAGAGAGAGAGAGAGAGAGAGAATTGGTTGGTTGCTCTCACCAGAGATTGACCCAGCCCTGATGAGGAATGGAACCCACCACCTTCTGGTATATGAGATGATGCTCCAACCAACTGGGCCACACTGGCTAGGGCAGGAATTCTGTTTTTAAATGTGCACTTAATTTCTGTGTAGGGTATTCAAGTGGCTCGAACCCATGAACTGAAGCCCTATGTCATATTTATAAAGCCATCTAACCTGAGTTGTATGAAGCAATCTCGAAAAAATGCCAAGATCATTACAGACTACTTTGTGGACATGAAATTCAAGGTAAAAATCACTGTACTGTTTCCACAGCCTCCTTATGTTAAGGGATATAACTTTTGTTTCTAATGAATAATGCCTTATGATTTATCTTTCCTGAACATCACTTATAAATATTAAAGTAAAGTTTAATAACTATTATAATGCTACTCTTGTTTTTTCTTCTTCTTCTTTTTTGGAGGGTGAGTATCTAGCTTAACCCTTCAAACCACAGTTTGCAAAGCCACATAGAAATTGGGTGTGCACAAGCCTGATATCTGTATTTAAAATGAATTATTTATTTTATAAAAACATGTGGGGCTTTACTTCTTAAATGCTTTAGCGAATATATCTCATCTGTAATGAGGTATCTTTATATATATATTTTTCTAAACATGAAAACTTATGTTAATGAAGATGGTAATAATAGAGGGGCCAAGCCAGGTGGGATTAATCAGTGAACTTTTCCTAGGATTGCTGATTTCCCCCTCACAACCCCAGTTTTTTAAATTAAATCTACTTTAAATATTTTAAGTCATAGCATATATTCAGCAAGGTGTATAAGTCTTTGGTGTACAGCTCAATGAATTTTTACATGTCTATGCACCCAGATGGCCATCGTCTAGATCAAGATATTACTTCCACTTATTTTTGTGTGTGTGGTAAAAAACAAACAAACCATGTAACATAAAACACAAAACTTACCATCTCAACCATTTTAAGGGTATAATTCAGTAGTGTTATTTACGTTGTGAAAAAGATCTCCAGAACTTTTTTGTCTTGCAAAACTGAAATTAAACATATGAAATGTGCCATGAATTTGCATGCCATCCTTTACATAGGGACCATACTAATGCCTGTATCATTCTAATTATAGTGTGTATGTTGCCTAAGTGGGCATAGGTATCTTTATATTATCCTTTATCTCTCATTATTTGTGTCTTCTTTTACTTCAATGACTTCTGTATGAAAGTCTGATTCTCCAGTTTGCATTTCAGACAGTGGATTCCATGGATATATTCTCTGAGTCTAATGGGCATTTAAAACTGTGTTCTCTCTCATTTTTTATGACAGTGTAGACAAATTAACAAAATTATTTCTGGATCATGTGTATGGTCACCTTGTAAAGGAGTACTGCCACAAGATTTCAGTGTCTGCATTTATATTTGTGTTTATGATTGTATTGACAACAAGTTGTACTATTTTAATTGTTGTGGACAAACTAGAAAACAGAAATGAACTTAATGCATTAGTATCAAGTGAAGGCCAAATAACCTTCACTGAATGAACATTTCACAATAGTAGAAATAGACAATATTATAGATGAATTAAGTCATCATGAAGCAAAGTGTAATTTAGGTATGCCTGTTCAATAGAACCATCTTACCATACTCATGCTAAAAGTGACCAAATAACACCATTCTTATTAATGTTTATTTAAAATTTATGTTTAAGTTTTATTTATATTTAACTGGTAAACATTTTTTGGTTTTATGTTGTATATGGTTTGAGCGCTCCAAATGTTTAGATAATAGGATAATTTAAGTCCAAATGAGATCTTGAGAGGATTGGTCTGTCTACAAACCATCATTCAATTTTGGAAAACCTTGACCAGGGAAACATTAGTAAGACTAACGAAAGAATCATATGTTTTTTGGTTTAAAATAGAGGACACTTATTTGACCTAATTTTAAAAAAATAGTTCGCATCTGAATGTAACAGCGTAACAAACTGCTATCATCTCTACTTCTCTCGTTGAGTTTGTACTATCTGCATTCTTTCACTTTTCCTGAAGGATGAAGACCTACAAGAGATGGAGGATTTAGCCCAAAAAATGGAGACTCAGTTTGGCCAGTTTTTTGATCACGTGATTGTGAATGACATCTTGCAAGATGCATGTGCCCAGTTGGTGTCTGCAGTTCAGAAGGCTCAGGAGGAGCCTCAGTGGGTACCAGCAACATGGGTTTCCTCTGAGACTGGGTCCTAAGGGCTCCTGCTTCGTGTTGGAGTTTTAACAACGTTTGTCTATTTCAGCTCTGGAGTAACAGCTGCTATCTGAAGCAGCAGTATTTGCCCTATTATAATATGTGTAACGTTTAAAGTCCTGAAGTTTTTTAATTAATCTTACTTGAAAAAAATGATTGCATTGTATGGGTATGTAGTTACCTGTTTGGCTTTTAGAAAAAAATGTTTGCTTTTACCTTACATATAGCAATTGGTAGGTATATGAACAAAGTCGAGTCACTGAGTATGAGAACCTTTTATAGTTTTCATATGGTCATTGTACAATTCAGATAAAATGAGCTTTCCTAAATAAAATAAATAGTATTTAATTTCAGAAACTGTTTTTTACCTTATGAAACTTGTTTTAGGAAAGCAAGTTTTATAAATTTTACAAAAAATGACTAACTTCAGCAAGAAAGATGGGTGATATACACATTTCACATCTAACATCAAAACCTACAGAAACTGCACTGCCTTCATTTTACACATGAGACTACAAGGAAAAAATTATTCTTCTGATCAGGGCTGTAATAAAAGCCAATATCTACATTTATGCTTAAACCAGTGGCCCGGTGCACGGATTCATGCACATTGAAAGGAAATTAATTAGAAGGTGGCCGGCGGGGCGGGACTGGGCAAGACTGGCTGATATGCCCAAGAGCCAACCTCTCGAGATCCCTCCCCTGCCCGGCTGCACCTGGGGCAGCTCTGCAGCTCAAAGGGTGAAGGGCGTCTGAGGTCACCACAGCTCGGCAGTAAACCAGATTGGGGGCCCCAACAGTACCCCAGCAACAACATGATCCATGGCAATCACGCAGTCCATGAGGAATCGGGCTCCCTCCTCTCTGGTCCCAGGGTGCGTCACCTGAGAACCGAGAACTGCTGCAAAGTCACCGCAGCTTAGCAGCTCCTGCATTGAGCGTCTGCCCCCTAGTGGTCAGTGTGCATCATACCTACTGGCCGGTTGGACAGTCAGGCGGTCGCTTAGCCTTTTACATATATATATATACTAGAGGCCCGGTGCACAAAAATTTGTGCACTCCGGGGGGGGGGGGGTGTACCTTAGCCCGGCCTGTGCCCTCTAGCAGTCTGGGACCCCTCGGGGGATGTCTACCTGCTGGCTTAGGCCCGCTCCCCGGGGGAACAGGCCTAAGCTGGCAGTCAGACATCCCTCTGGCAGCCTGGGAGTCCTCGGGGGATGTCCACTTGCCAGTGGGGAGCAGGCCTAAGCTGCAGTCGGACATCCTTAGTGCTGCTGAAGAGGCAGGAGAGGCTCCTGCCATCACCACTGTGCTGGCAGCCGTCAGCCTGGCTTGTGGTTGAGCAGAGCTCCCCCTGTGGGAGCATACTGACCACCAGGGGGCAGCTCCTGCATTGAGCATCTGCCCCCTGGTGGTCAGTGTGTGTCATAGTGACCAGTCATTCCCAGTCATTCTGCTGTTAGG